CATCTGGAGCAAAGAGAATAAAGTCACAGATGATGATGTCAGAGGGAAGGGAAAATCCTGGTCTGTGGAAGGGCCACAGTGACCCTGTGAGCTAAGTTACAACACTGAAGTCCCAGCCAAATCCCTGCTGTGTTCACTGATCTGGCGCCTGAGACATTCACCTGTTTCTCCCATCATAACCTGTGTACCCTGAATCTCCCATGACAGGAGCAGCCTCTTCTCTCCCATTGCTGGTCAAGCCTAAGGCTACTCTTTGTGGCCATGGCCAACTTTGATGTCCAGGGGTAAAGGTCTCTGTACTTGCACCCGAGAGGGACTGGGAGGCCTGGCCTCTGGCCATGTGTATTTGGGATGGCAGCCTGACACACAGAGGAACAGAAGATACTCACAGACGGGATTCAGGGTGACTGGGTCACTGCGGCTGGAACTCACTGGGCTCTTCATTTGACATTGATAGGGTCCTGCAGTACGCTTTGTGACACCAAATAGAATGAGGGTCCTGTTGTTTTCGGACAGCTGCAACCTGGGACTGATAGGGAGGAGCTGACCATTTATCCACCACAGGTAGCTTGCGTTCGGAGTGTCAGGATCACAGGATAAGGTCACAGTCTCCGTGCCATCCCTGGGGTTTAAGTTGCTGCTGCTGATGGAGGGCTTGGGAGTCTCCACTGTGCAGATAACAGAGAGAAGATTGCCCTGTGTGGCACCTTTGATTCCTCCAAAGACATTTTTCAATCAGAGACGGCATTTCCCACCTTTCAGCCCACCCAAGCCCTTAAAAGCCCATATCAGGTGTGTGTGTTACAAGACAGACGCATGGCAATCTGAGGGCTCAGAGATTGTGAGGCTGCCTGCTTCATATGAGAGAAGCATAGACTTTCTCATGTGTGAATTGAGCAGCAGTATTGGGTCATGGAAAGGCATGGGACCAGCAGTCAGAGTCCCTAGTGCCCCTCTGAGTCCCACCCTCTCCAACTGCCTGCCTGGCCCACCCTGTGGTCCTCACCTGGAGCATGCAGTGCTGGAATCTTCTTAGTTTCAGTCTTACTTTGCCCCCCAAGATATGTTTTCTCTGCAGCTTCCCTTTCAAGGACATCCTAGAGATGGATGATAGAACTTCCCATTGTCCTTAAACCCTTTGGGTACTGGGAAGCCTGGCCTGGGACTGGGTACTTCAGCAGAAAAAACACAGGGGACACCAGAGTCAAGCCTGGGGGTCTGTTCAGTGATCAGGCAGTGGCACCACAAGGTGGGGCAGTTTTCCCAGCTGTCTCATAGTGACTGACTTGAGCCAGTGACCTCTAAAGATAGAGTAGAGTCCAAGGAATGACCTACAAAGAGTGACGGGGACAGGCAAGAGCTGATAGCTTTGGACCAGGTCCATGTTCCCTGTTTAGTTTCCATGATGTTCCCTTCCCCCTGTAGAGGGAAGGTGAGGACCATGTGGTTGTTTCTAGAAATACATGTGGATGTGTGAAAATTGAGAACTGACTGGTGGAAAGGGCGAACATGAACTGATGATGGAAGTCTGGCTTTCATGGACGATTTGTGTTTGGTGGCTATTAGAACAATGTTTGGGAAGAAGTCTTGCAGAAACTTTCTGTCATTAGACATTCTACTTTCTGATTCTATGAGTTTGACTACTCGATGTACCTCATCTCAGTGGATTCCAGAGTGAATCAGAGAGTAGAATAGTAGTTTCCAGGAGCTGGGGTCGGGGGAATAGGGCA